GGAGGGAGGGAGGGAGGAGGAGGAGGAAGATGTAGGGAAAGTGTCAGTCCCTTCTTAAAACATACTTTTATCTGAGAGCCTACCCTGATTTTACTTGAATTTAAATTTTTTTGGAAGTATCTTTAATTTCCTAAATGTTTTTCTTGTTTTACCTTAAATTCTCTTTAAATTCATGATTTTATAACTTTATTCTATGCGTCTTTATATTTCACCTAAAGTAGGCATCAGATAATGCTGCATTTTTAAACATACAATTTCAGAAAACGTTCAGAAGAAGAATTGTCTTAATGTAAGTAATAAACTGTGGGAGTATCATGCTGATATCTATTAGTTACATTTTGACCCTAAAATACCTTACAACACATATCTTTAAAATCTGTTTTCTCAAAATAATCCAGAAATCTCCACTTCAGTAGCACTTACAGACACCAAACCATCCCAGTTTTATTCCTCTCTATATTCTGATTTAATTTTACAGCCTGATTTACCCTAATAACATGGAGAATTTTGATGTTTTTATATCTGTTGACAGTATTTTCTGATTTATGGATTCATAAAAAGAGATATATATTTTATATTTTGTGAAGCATTTTGTAAAGATGGTTTTAAATGTGCTCTATAAATAAAGATATTATTATTATTATTATTGTTATTATTATTATAAGCGGGACATGGATCAGATTTGTGGTCAGTAAATGTTTACAGAACATGCACCAAGAAGCCAACCCAACCCAAACTAGTTGAAACTAAAAACTGTTTTTAAAATGAAAAGTTCTGGTAGTGAGATGAAAAATGAGGCTGTACACAATAAAAACTTCAAAAACCACAGAAACATCCAGTACATCACAGACATTTAAATGCAGAATCAGGTTAGATAAACAGCGAGGTGAGACATTTCTTTTCTAGGACTGCACTTTGTCACCAGTCACATGCACACGCAGTGAAAACCTGCCTTGGTATCAGTAAAGTTAGACACACACTCGTCCACACACACCGTCCTGCAGCGGCGGTCGGCTGCCCGCCGGCATGCCGTTGAATCCACTCAGACTCTCTCGTCCCAGGAAGTCTCCGAACACGTCTCTGAATGGCTCTCCTCCCACCTGAGTGCTCTCCTCTACACGGACCTCCCTCTTCGTCTCCCCCGCTCGAGTCTTACTGATCTCCGTCCGCTCTGTCCGGGTGTAGGTGTGACTGCTGCGAGTGAATGTCCGGGTCAGACGCTCCTGAGCCGAGACCATGTGAAACCAGTTCCCTAAAAGCAGCGGGGAGGAGCAGGGAGGAAGGAGGAAACCATGAGGGACAAAGGAGAAGGAGGTAAAGAGGGGGAGGCAGAGAGGAGGAGGCAGGTGGAGACGGGTGGAGTAGGTGTGACAGCTCACCTGGTATTTTGAGGTTAAGGTCACAGGTGCTGCCCACAGTAGCGATGGAGGGAGCCTGACGTTTCCTGGTGATGCTCTCCTTCATCCTGCCCTCGCCGAACACTTTCACTGTGAACGGACTTCCTGTTCAGACAGAAATATTAAAGAAAAGGTTTGAATTCAGGACTATTTTTACACTATTATAGTTCCATAACATGTCCATGTGTGTTAATATAATAAAGTTGTGTGTTTGTACAGTGATAATAAAGTTGTGTTTTTGTACAGCAATAATTAAGTTGTGTTTGTACAGTGTTAA